ACATTGAAAAGAACTATGAGCGTTATAAAAATTAAAGAAGCTGATGAATTGGCTAATGGTTTTAATCAAGTTTGTTGGAATAAAAAAAAAAGGTCTCCATATGATTGATTGTTGGATTGAACTGATATAAAAGGTTTTATTTTTAAGATTGATGAAATCAAACAAATGATTTAATAATAAACAAAATCACAAATCCTGCCTGAACATGCACTTTATTTTTTGTTTTGATTATAATATAAAAATTATTGAAAATCCAATATATTTTAATGGTTTGGAACCACAGTTGTACCTCCGTATAAGAACCTTCCACCATATAAAAACATCATATAAAAACCTCTATATGATAACATATATGTTGGGAACCAATTATTATTAAGCTTATAGAAAAAATACTTGCATCCAAGGACAAGCTCTCTATAAAAAGATTTTAGGAAAAGTCACCATGTTTCCAACAGGTTTTTATACGGAGGTACGACTTTATATGACAGTCCCGATAACAATGCTTAAAGGAAATGACAATGAAAGTGTTTTTTATATTAGAAGAACATATGATAAACTATATATTTTTTTCAAATCGAACAGTAAAATAATAAGCTTGAGATTTTTATTTCTGTGTAACAACCGTAAACCATTTTTTATTCGTAATCGTTGTTATTAATATCGGAAATAGCAAACCATTTAATTATTTATTGAACTCGGTCCCTAACAATTCTCCGCGGTAGTGATTTTAATTTGTTCTTATTAATAATTATTATTATTTCCGCAAATGTAGTAATGTTTTTCAAAATAATAATGACAATTAATAATAACAATAATAATACCTTTTGAAGTCTATAATCAATTGACTTAAGGAAAACAATGTTAAATGAGTTAGATTGTTTCCCAATTGGTGGTGATGCTATCCATTTATCATTTAAAGCCAATAACAAGTCAATAATGAAATTTTTTTAGTGGATGTTTTTTATTTGTCGAAAAAAAAACTACACAAAACCCGTGTGAATTTTTGATTTCCAAACAAGGATATATGAAAATTTGCCCGCCCTTTTTTTAATTCCCTTTTTTTTTTTTTTTTTTTTTAACATTTGCAGTAGCATGTATTTTTTGATTTTGATCGACGTTTGCAATTATCACATTTGCATTTTAGTCAAAGATCTTCGTGTGTTACATACATTGTTTAATTTTGAATTATAATTTGTCATTCTTATGAACGAATTAAAAGGGTTTTATATATGTGTATTATATATACAAGAAAAATATTATTAAATGTAAATAAAGAAATGTTCTTATTTTTAACATATTAATAGTGAAGCTTTAGCCAGATAAAGCTAATAAAGATCCACATAATGAGCAAGTTCTTAAAGTATTAACAAAAGGAAACAGTATATTTTTATTTAGAAATAATTCATTTCAATTTTGGAAACAAAACAAAACAAAAATAAGCCCAAACAAATTATTATATAAGGGTCACGCTATTATTATTAAGTGTAAGATATATATTAAAGTGTTTGTTTTCCATCTGCACACATTTTTTCATAGATCCTACCTAATATCTATCACCTTTGAATGATATTAAAAATAAAAGTAATTCACACGTTATTGTAACCCGTGAAATGAATCGAAATCTCTTTTTTTTAAACCACATAATTTTTGTTTTTATTTTGCAAATATCACTTTAAAATTAATAAATATATTATTAATAAAAATCAGGCGTTTTTTTGTATTTGCATATATATATATCCTATATCAATTATTTACGAAATCATGAGGTAATTCGTTTAAAGATATATAAAAAAAGTGCAAGTCATGACTTTCAACTCTTCAAAGTAGTTTTGGAGACCAACATTAGTTTCGAAACTCCCAAAACTGTACTGCCTTTAAATCTTCAAAAGGCTACATATATAACCTCTCATCTTATTTTTTTTTTAATATAAAAAATTTTTTTTTCGTTTGTTACCATGCATGTTGTGTGTTACTAAAACAGATTCGTATATATCACAATCGCATTTTTGATATAAATGCGGGGTATGCATGTATGTAATACATTGAATGTAATCTGGCATTCTCTGCCATGGAAGATTATGAATGGATAATTATCTGTGCTATGACTCTCTGATAAACGATAACAGTATTTATTAAATAATAATGATATATAGAATAAAAAATGATTTTTAATTGTATTTATTTAATATTATTATAATTATAATAAATTTTGCCTAGTTCTCTTACAATCTGGTCTAATTAAAATTCAGCCAATAAAATAAGTTTATAAATGTAAAACAATAATTATCTCGTTGAATTGTTAAATTAATATTAAAAACAAATGTCAAAACATCAAAAAAAATTTTTAAAAATAAAAATAAAGTCATAAGATTTTATTGGCGTAATATTCGTAATTATATCATTAGTTGTAACTTTAAATTTTTTTCTGGCTTTAAATTGTAATGGAGAATGAGCGATTTCTAATGGAGAAAACAAAAAAGAAAATAAGATTTAATTTAATTAATCAAAAGTGCGAATGCGAGGATTACATAATAATAATGTACTAATGCTTTTTCGTGCCTTCATTTTTTTTGAATTTATAGTTCGCAAGGTTTTATTTTTTCCAAAAAAAAATTTAATGCGGGGGATACTTAAAAATTTTTATTTATTTATTTATTTATTTATTAAATAGACAAACAAACAAGTAAATATTTTTCTTAAATATTTATTTAGTAACATAATATAAAAAAATTAGTATTTAAATGAATTTTTTTGAAGAAAAAAGAAAAACCAGAAACCAAAAATTAAATACTATTTTTCTAATAATCGAACGATATTACAAACAAGGGCAATGAAACGGTGATAAATACATTCTTTACGATCTGACGCAATAGTAGATGTATATATGTATATATATCAAGTTTATATAACGTCAACATCAATGATCTGATAAACAGTTTACATCTCATCGATCAATCTCGCGTCAAAATTCCAAAAATCACACACCCTCAAAATTTTCCACTTCTTTGAACATTAATTAATATTTTACTTATATATCTATAGAACTATTAAAAATTAAAAAAAAAAACAAAAAAAAAAAAAAAAAAATTCTTTATTTTTCATTCAATGGGGTTTTATTTTATTTTTTTAAGGAGAATTTTGGACAATTCATTTATATATTCTGGTTAATATATATTATATATCTTATAAAATAAAATTGACACATAATCACGTAATGTAATGAACAATATTAATAAATTAGTGAGGACATTTTCATATTTCATATTTTACAAATATTTTTTTTTTTGGCAAAGACAAAATTTCTCGAATGTTGCTGCAAAAACAAAAATTTAATTTCGGGTTGTTGTTATATATTTTTTTAAATTTCCTATTTTTAATTCCTATTTTTTATTAATCGTAAAGTAATTTCTTTAATCTTTTTTTTTTCTCCTATTTATCTTTTCGATCGTTATTTCCCAATTGCCATCATTTTTATATTATATTATATTATATTTTATTTTTAACGATTTATTTATTTATTATGATCAAAAAATTAAGCTTATTTATTTATGGATTTAAATTTTTTTTTTTATGTCAAAATTGCCGACTACTAACTATGATTTTTAAGTTTACTTATGCAAAAAAATAAAGTGTCTTTTTTTTAGAAATATTTTTTTAGATCTTTTTTTGGTTGGTTTTTGGTAGAGTGATTGTTTGATATTTTTTTAAATTTTATAATAACAATAATAACAATATTTAATTTTTTTATCTTTTTTTTTTTTTTCTATTCTTTATTAATTAATAATCTTCTTATTATATTTTTTATTATATTATTAATATACTTTAGTTTTGGACATTTTTTTAATTAGTTTTTTTACCATAAAAATAAAACCAAATTATAGAAGCTGGTGTTTTCACCCAGCATTTTTTTTTACTTTTTTAAAAAACCGTTTCCCCAAGAGACGTGCGCAAATCATGTGATTTATACGAATTTTATAAAATTCAGCATGCTAATCAAATTTACATACTAATATCAATCAATATGTATAAAGATAGTGCAGCAGAATTTTATATCAATCCTTTGAAAGTGCTTTTGTTCACCTTTTTAAAAAACCAGCTTTGTCATTACATATCAAACTTTGTCGTGACAGAGTGACTAAGATTTACGATGATTATTTCTAAATTTGGCAAATTATCGCGTCAAAAATTATTTTAAACAATAATAATAATAATAAGCCCCACCAAAAGGAAAATTTTACAAACAAATAAGCGGGATAAACTAAATTTAGAATTATTGCTATATTTATATTCCTCGTAGCGCAGATAATGTGGACCCGCACCAAAGTATATATAAATGTCCTTAACGCTCAATAATAACTTTTTGTTTTCAAATTCGATTAAAAAAGCTAGTTTTATAAAAATTTTCAGCGGGCGCAAATTAATCAAGTTATCTCCATTTTTATCATCTGTCAATGAATCGTGTATTCTGCGTAATAAATTCTTTAATCGTAGCCTAAATAGTTTGTTTTGTGTATTTTCGGTGGTCTTGGACATAATTCCATTATGGCATATCTGTGTAATTCTCACAATGGCATTTATTTTAGCCGATCATACATAACTCAAAAGTTTGCTATTATATTAATATTAATGTTTTATTACTATTGACCCTGAAACCTTAATTATTAACCATTATGTTTTTAATTATTATCGATATTATTATCATCATCATTGCTCTTAAAAAAATAATTTTTATAATAAAAAAAGAAATTCCAAAAAAAAAAAAAATAAACAAATAGAAACTTTTAAATAAGCCACAATTATTGCTCAAATTCTTATCATCTTCAACAAATAATGCAATTGAAAAACCTGAAAATTAATGCATTATTATGTAGATTGTAAAAAAAAAATTCAACAAGAAAAATTAAACTTATATTTAAAAATTATAATGGAATAACTAATTATATATTTTGAAAAAAAAAAATCCAATTATTAATAATTCACCATTTAACAAAATTGATATTATGATTCAAAAACAAAATATCAAAGTGACTAGATTAGTAGTAATGGTCATGGATCTTGATGAATATGCTGGTGATAGTAAAACATTAATATAAATATAAGGAAGGCTTGTGTGTGAGATAAATGTATCTTGATAATGATGATATGTATGATTGTATTGATTATTGCCATAATAATAATAATACATATATGTGCATATTACACTACAATAAAATCAGGATATTTTTTATTCATTAATAAATTTTTCAATGTTTCAGTTTCCACTAGCTTTCTATTACACTATCAATTTTCTTTTAGACGATTATACCAATAAGAATTATGGCTATTTATTTGATTGTCTATTTGTTTATTTACGAAATTACTTGATTTTTTATCAGTACCGTACGTGACCCGTGACTCTTTTGGATTCCCGAAATAGCTTTTTCAATAAATTTCTTTTTATATATTAGTTTAACATGTATTTAGATTTCGGCAGCTTAGGATTCGGGTATAAGTTTAAGTTTCGGTAATTTATTTTCCCTAAACTAATTTCGAGTAGTTTCGGTATCGGGGCTTTCTCCAAACTTTGTCACAGAACTTCGGTCTTAGTATTACTATTATTTGTGCGATCAAATTTAGTTAATTTTTATTTATCAATCAAAAGAAATATATGCATACATCACCACATGAGAATATATACTGTGCCATATATACAAATTTGTTAATATTAATTTAGCGCCCGTCGACTCAGCCAATTGAATTTTATACGATGATGCAATATTGCTTATTTTTTTTTTTATTCATTGATCAATGCAAATTTAAAAATAAAAAAATTTGCATGCAAACAACATTGTTTATTAAAAAAAATCTCCCAGTAAAACTGCTGTAAATTAAAATCATTTGCATCTGTAAATAATAAAGTATAACACATAATTACAAAGGAAAAGGCTGATTGAAAACAAATAACGGAAAGATCTTTACATATGAAGTCTATGAAACTGAAATTCACATATGTGACATCAAATTAGCCAAAAGGAATTCTCATCCAAACGCCTCCCTCCCTAATAAATTTCAATTCGCTAAGGAATATGTCGGCTGATAGAAGAAAAGAAAAAAATTTCAAAAGATATTTGACAAATTCCCCGAAATGTAACTCATATACACAAACAGGTATGCCAGATGGCAATTAATTAATGAGAACTTTGCATTTTTTCATTTTTATTCATAATAATACCAGAATAATTCAAGAGGTTAAAGAAATCGTAATAATTGATGTATTCGACGAGTGAATATCCGCCATGTCCGTCAGGAAATTTTATTGAAGCAATTTTGTGTAGAGCTTACATTCCACGTAAGAACAATGTGAGATTAACAAACCCGACACAATCCTTACACAATTTCATATAGAAGAAACTTACAAGCATTCGGTACTAGACTTGCTGATTCCAAAACTATTGTGACTAATGATCTGAAAGATGGATATTTTACTTTTTTCTAAGAAAAGTCTCTGAAAATCAAGTGTTCTTTTAATAAATTCATTGAAGGAAAAAAAAAAAGAAATGGAAAATCCCTAATTGTGGCAGACAAATATCTAAATCGAAAATACACATGTTAATTATTGCTAAGAAACTATCAATGCAATGATCTCTCTTTTGAAAGGTGCAGTCAATAAAATTAATGGAACTCATCAGCAACCTGGTTCTAATTTACTAGACATGATGGGTCAAGGACCTTTGGTAAGATATCTTCCTTGGCAATCTGTTTTCAATCTTCATATATATTACTCCCAAGTATACGATCGTATATGTGGGTAATCATATTTCTGATTTCAAAGGTCGAAATTATTTCAATATCAAAGTTGGATTGCAACACGCGTTTTGACAATGTTAATTTGGACTGCATGTATATTCCCAACGTACATATTGAAATAGGTTTTCTGACAAAGGTATGTATAATGAAAAGTTCTTTTATTGGATCAGGTTATCTTTTTAGTTGTCTACTAACACTACTGCCCCACCATTTATTGCTTCAAGTTGTGCCATCAAACAAATATCTGACGTAGTCTAGAAAGCCATCGACAAATGCAACCAAAGTTGGTGTCTGCAATCGGTTGTAAAAACAGGTTGCAACATCCCAATTGCAAATTTCTAGTTGCAGATACTGCAAGCCACTTTCAAAAAACGGACCGTTTGTTGTTCCTCATATATATGTGTGTGTGTGTGTGTGTGTGTGTGTGTGTGTGTATAATCCTATGTATAAAATTTATCACAATGTAGATTTTTTATTTTAAATTAATAAAAAGATTTTACCATTATTAATTTGTTTACGTTTCATTTGATTTCAAAGCGTAAAGCGAAAGATGCTGTTGGTATTTAACAATTCCAAAGGCTAGAAAATTTGATGACTCAGATTTGTTAATATCATAATAGTATATTTACCATGAAAAAACATTAAAAACGTTGCATTTTTCTCATCTAATGGAATACATATAAAGGTTTTTTTGGATTTGTTGACTACTTATAGGTGTCTAAGGTGAAGAGTTTTTAGAAGTTGAGGATACTATCGATTGCGATTTAAATTATTCAAAAAACTATAATGTGAAAAAAAAATTCCAAATAAAGGAAGTCATATAATCAATTTCATTGTTTTCCTAATATAGTTTATTTGGAAATTAAAGTTATCTATTTAAGGATATACTATATAATACATTTTTAACCTACATATTTTAACCGGTCCGATGGTGATCAACAAAATGTGCGCATTTTTTATGTAACATTTCCGCACACAGTTTCCTAACTATCATATGATGTGGGACCCCAATATGACATGATTAGTTACCATACCATTTTGAAACATTTTTGATCAACATAATAATGTAATTGGGTGGGAAAGATGTTGATTTTTATTAATTTTTTAAAACATTATATTATAACTTTGTTGAAAAAGAAGCAGATAATAATTTTGCGTAAAATAATAATTAATTACAGCAAGTAACATTAAAAAATTAAAAATTAAAAATAAAAAGATTCAACTAATAGAAGATTGATTTGCTTTTCACATACAATAATCTTATAATTCAGGTTTTGATGTATTTTAGATTTATTGATCTTTTATTCTAAGATGGCGTCTTGTATGACCTTTTAGTTCATTTTTTTGATAATACGCTTTAGTGCATCCAGGATATTCACATTTGAAATCCTTTATTCCAAAATGATACTTTGTATGAAATTGTAGTTCACCTTTGCTACAAAATGCTTTGGTACATCCTGGGTATTCACATTTGAAATTTTTTATCCCAAGATGACGTCTTGTATGATCTTCTAAATTACTTTTACTATAAAACCATTTAGTGCATCCAGGATATTCACACTTGCAATTGTTCATTCCAAGATGACGTCTTGTATGTTGTTTTAGTTCATAATTGTGAAAAAATGTTTTTGTACATCCTGGATATTCACACTTGAAATTTTTTATCTCAAAATGACGTTTTGCATGTTGTCGTAAATCAATTTTTTCATGAAATGCTTTTGTACATCCTGGATATTCACACTTGAAATCTTTTATTCCAAGATGATATTTTGTATGTCGTATTAAAGAAATTTTTTGACGAAATGCTTTTGTACATCCTAGGTATTCACATTTGAAATTTTTTATTCCAAGATGATGTATTGTATGTTGTATCAATTCAGATTTTTGACAAAATGCCTTTGTACATCCTGGATAATCACATTTAAAATCTTTTATTCCAAAGTGACGTCTTGTATGACATTGTAAAGCAATCTTTCCATAAAATATTTTTGTACATCCTGGATATTCACACTTTATACTTTTTCTAACACCCTCTTCATCCTCATTTTTGCTTTCACTTTTATTTTCATTTTCGTTTTGATTGTCTTCATTGTTGTAATTGTCATCACCATTTTGATCATTATTGTAATTGTTGTTAACGTTATAATTATAATCTTCTATAATCTTTTTGATTTTATCGTCATTATTATTAATATACACCCAACAATCTATATATCAAATTATCATTATTATAATAATAAATATAAAGAACAAATAATATCTGATTACTTTGTAAAGTTACCTTTTTGAAACATTTTTTATTTATATTATTTTTCACAGATATTTTTTTTAGAAGAAATTTGATTTGCCAAATTTTTATTTATGCAGATCCTTTTGTTGAATAGAGAGACATTAACAGGTCATATAATAGGCTATACCAAAATCAAAAAAAAAAAGAGCATAAGAGCAACTTAGTAAAGGTTCCTCAATTTATTAACAAATATATATTTTTAAATAGTAATGCACTCCTTATTTTTTTATTCATTTTAAGTTCTTTACAATGTATTTAATTATTACTTATTACATTATGGACATTATGCTCATCAAATTATATCTCAGAAAAAGATGAATTAAAAGAACGCTTCTCTGTAGAACCTGAAAACTTGCCCAAAAAAATGCAAATGGGACATTTCTTAGATAATAACAACCACCTGCTTCAGTTATAAAAATATCTAAAGCATTTTCAAACACTGACATAAACATTGGTAAACAATCAATGAAGAAAATATCATCACCGAAACAGCTTGCCGACATGGTGATAATTTCGTCTTGGATGTTTTACAATTTCAACATGACCATCTAAATTACCAACAAAAATGGATTCATATTGCAAACAGATTGGATGCAATAACAAGACTTTCCATGAATAAGTTTCCAGCCCAAATATTTTCAAACGTATTCTTGTTGTCCATACGCATAAATTTTTTTGTATTGAAAGATTTTAATAAAACGGATTTTATTATTATTATTCATCACTCGTTTATTATGACAGTAATTTTAAAGGAGGATAAAACGTATTTAATAACCATTTTGACACTTGATAATAAATGTCTTGAATAAGTATTTGTGTTGTATCATTTTAATAAATTTTAGAATAATTCCATTGAAAATTTTAAATGATAAAGTCAATATAAAATAATGTACGAAGCCATAAAATTATTGGTGTTCATAGACTCGGAAATAACATTTCCTATTTTCTCCGTAATGTGTGGCTGGCATAGCAATATTATCTATTTCATTATGAATTTTAGCTACAAGATCTTTTTCAGTCTGGCGTTAATAATTTTACAAATGACGTTTTAACTTTTTGGTATTAATGCATCAAAATAGCATTTATTTTTGAAAAAAAAACTTTTCGATATTTATCACGTGAATTAGTATTGATGTGAGTAGATAAACAGATACAACTGAATGAAAAGCAGGATAAATGATTGATTAAATAAAATCTCGGTTAAATTGATTATTAAACTCAGGTTAAATAAATACGCAGTTATTTCCTTGCGTTGATTAAATCAAGTAAAAGTTTTAACTTACTTAAAATCAAAGTTTCAAAAGAGACTCTCTGTAAAATCTCTTTTACTTGGAAATTATTAGAAAATTTTGATGAGATAAAAATACACGAAATCATTTAAAAAAATTTTTTTTTGTTGCATGCCCATTTTATTAACAATTTAAATATGAATATTGATGGTGATGATTATTATGATGATTGTGATATGATTATAACGATGATGGCAGTGATGATGGCAGTGATGGATGACAATGACGACGACAGTGATGACTAAGACGATGGTGATGACTGTTTTAAAAAAAATCTTGCGATTTTAATTTGAAGATTTGGAAAAAATAAAATCGTATGACTGAATATTTGCCTAAAAATAGAAAAATAGAAAACTTACGATTTTAAAAATAAATTTTTTTTTAATTCATCGACTTATTGTATCCATTACTATGAATTTCTTTTTTTGTAAAGTCACGTGGTTTGATAACTAGTATAAAAATTCTTTATAGCGTTTAAAATCAAAAGCCCTTGATCTAGAACAAAGTCAAACTATCATTTAATTCTAACACTGTAATAATAAAATTTCAATAAAAATGAAATTACTTTCAGCTAAAGAAGTTGCTAAACACAATAAACAAGACGATTGTTGGGTAATAATACATAACAAAGTTTATGATTTAACCAATTTTTTTTTGAAAAGATAAATAAACTTCTGACGCTTGCATTTCATCTCATTTTCAATATGTTTATCTGAAGAAAATATAAATATATATAAATTATTAAA